TAATAATAATAATAATAAAAAAAATTAGACCAATTGTAGATCGCTATTCTAATTGGCAGGGTAAACAGTTTGTCTTTGCCACATAGTATCTCCATTACAGAGCATCTGAAGCTTGCAGTTGTGTAAATGGGCCAAAGTTGTGCCACTAGGGGAACATTGTTTGGAATGCACTGAATAAATTTAATTACTCTATTAATCCAATCATTAAGATGTATTCATAATTAACGCATGTCAGATTTTCATATTCTATTGATATATACCCTAATATGTCCATGAATTGAAGAAAGTGAAAGATAATGATATTATTTATCAGACAAAATATGACAACATAACTCATGAAATTATAATTGTGTGGCAAATACGTGTTAACCATTATAGATAGTGGTGATGCTCCTTCTGTAACAAAGGGGGCAATGAGGTGGGTTAGCGACGTTGGCACCAGGAGGTAAATGATTTTCTTGGATGAGAAACCTGTTTAAAACCTCTAAAAAGTTAGGTTTATATGGTTTTCAAGTTTACTGCTACCTTTGACCTGTAGAATGGAAAAATCTTTTTTGCTCTAGATTTATATTTTATTCTTTAATTTTGTTTTTTCATCCACAATAAAATTATAGTAATAGATTGGTGTAACTCCATTATTCTTTAGATACTTCAGTGAACCAGGGAAAATTTTTAGAATTTTCTCAAGCTTCCTTCGTCATGGAAACCCCCTTAGAAAGCTAAAAAACTTACACATGTAAATAGAAAAGTCAAGCTGATTTTGAATCAATGCCCACTTCTGCACATTGTTATTTATTTTTACCCAATAGGTTAGAGAAACTAAATCTTTTTAATCGTTTCTCATTTGTAATATTTCAAGATGACTTAAAATTAGTTCACTGTGAAACACTCAGTATTTTGGAAAACTTTAAGTTCTATTTGCAAGTTACAAAGTCAAAACCTTGAAAAGGGTAGATGCCATTCAAATTTTAAATTAGGTTGTAAAAGTGTGTAAACTTGCCAATGTAACCGTTTAGTATTCATTTAAAAAATAACATATATATATACATATATATA